CCAATAGGTGTATGAGGTTAAACTGCTCCCTGCATACTCCGACAAGTATAAGAGTATAAACTGCTTCTCAATCTTCCGACCGGTATAAGAGGTTAAACTGCTCCATGATCCTCCAATAGGTGCATGAGGTTAAACCGCTCCCTGCATACTCCGACAAGTATAAGAGTATAAACTGCTTCTCAATCTCCAACCGGTATAAGAGGTTAAACTGCTCCCTGATCCTCCAATAGGTGCATGAGGTTAAACTGCTCCCTGCATACTCCGACAAGTATAAGAGTATAAACTGTTTCTCAATCCTCCGACCGGTATAAGAGGTTAAACTGCTCCCTGATCCTCCAATAGGTGCATGAGGTTAGACTGCTCCATGCATACTCCGACAAGTATAAGAGTATAAACTGCTTCTCAATCCTCCGACCGGTATAAGAGGTTAAACTGCTCCCTGATACTCCAATAGGTATATGAGTCTAAACTGTTTCCCAATCTTGACGGGAAGTTCCTAAAACTGCTCCCTGATACTCCAATAGGTATATGAGTCTAAACTGTTTCCCAATCTTGACGGGAAGTTCCTAGAGAATCATATATTCTTAAGGATAACCCGAACATACGATTGAGGATAACGTACTCCTCGTTATACCCAGTTCTGCAAGAAAGCTAGGGGTGGATAATTCGTGTAACGGGAAGTTCTCGAAAGAATGTTAATATTCTTAGGGATAACCCGATCAATATGAACAAAGTGATGAACACTAAATCCCCCACCGATCAGACTAATTGACGGTGGGACCACCAAATTCTATCAAGTTTAATCCATTCAAACTTCCACTATGTTCGTGCACTCAACACTTTCGTAGTTAGAGTCCGGTTGTAATGCTTAGAATTTTGATCTGTCACCTGATCAAACCTTCCTACAATTAAGACCACAGCCAAAATCTCCTCTCGATTCTCTCCATGAACGAGAGGTCCACTTTCAAATCGGGTGATCAAACCTTCCTACAGTTAGGATCACCTCAAACTCCTGCTTTGTCAAACCTTCCTACAGTAAAGACCAAAACAACAATTCACTCTCAATAAACGAAAAATTCACCTTTAGTTCGGTAATCAAACCTTCTGATAGTTAGGATCATCCGAATTTTTTTTCGATTCTCGGAGTGGAGGTCCCACTTCTAGTTTCATCTTTTCGGATTCTGGGGGTGGAGATCCCACCTCGAGTCTCCTTTCCAACTGAAAATAGAATATAAAATTCTTTCTTTCCAGAATTAATGAATAGAATATAAAATTCTTCCTTCCTTGTATTCGGGTCCGCCTTCACCCTAAAAGAAGACCGGAAAATAGAATATAAAATTTTTCCTTTCCCGCACCAACCTTTTCCAAGAATTTATCAATCTAGGATTCATCCTAGGAAGTTTATCCCGAATCCTAAGCAGGGATAAGTCTGCGCCTAACACGCGCTGCCGGTTTAGTCTTTTTCCATAGAAAAAGACACCAGAGTTCGATTCTGGGGTATTCTATCCTGAAACCTAAGCAGGGATAAGACTGCGCTTAACCCGCGCTGCCGGTTAGTTCTTAACCGTTAAAAAGAACACTCGCCCACATATTCAACATTGTGACAGGTTGTTATTAATAACACCAAAATCCATGCCTTACACGCATGGGGAATTTCATCCTGAATCCTAAGAAGGGATATGCCGACGCCTAACACGCGTCGCCGGTTTAGTCTTTTTCCGTAGAAAAAGACACCAGAGTTCGATTCTGGGGTATTTTATCCCGAAGCCTAAGTAGGGATAAGTCAGCGTCTAATACACGTTGCTGGGTAGCCTATCCCCGTAACAATGGTGAAACCTATGTATTCGACATCATAGCACAAAGTCTCAGAGAATTCACTCTCTTAGCACAACGTTACATGCGGAACGGATTTAGACAATCCGCATGCTAGCCCGACTCAAACGGTAGTCGGTAAAGGCTTATCAAACCCGTTGAAGGCTGGGGGGTTAGCTAAAAATCCTAAAGTCAGCGCCTAACACGCGTCGCCGGGTAGTCTATTCCCGTGAGAAAGACGAAGTCTACGTATTCAATATCGTAGCACTAAGAGCGTTAACTCTCTTAGCACAACGTCACATGCGGAACGGATTTAATAATCCGCATGCTAGCCCGACTCAAACGGTAGTCGGTAAAGGCGCATCAAACTCGTTGATGGCTGAGAGTTTGCCAAAAATCCTATATATGCGAAAGTCACTGACGCACCAGCCCCATTAGTTGGTTTCGTGACTTAGACATCCAACAAATTCGGGATAAGATCCATACGTGCAGATGAATCAGCTTTAATAGTTGGTCCTGTAGCCCAATATTTAGGACCGCCATGCTCCAATACCTCAAGAGCTTAAACTGTGTATACTCCAACAAACGTCAAGCGATCCGAAACTCTAGGGTCAACGCCGGTCAACGCGTAACCCTAGGTCAATGCCAGTCAACGCGTTGCAATCAAACAGTCAACGTACGACGTTCGAAACCCTAGGGTCAACGCCGGTCAACGCGTAACCCTAGGTCAACGCCAGTCAAAACGTTGCGATCAAAAAATCAACGTACGACGTTCGAAACCCTAGGATCAACGCCGGTCAACGCTTAACCCTAGATCAACGCCAGTCAACGCGTTGCAATCAAACAGTCAACGTACGACGTTCGAAACCCTAGGGTCAACGCCGGTCAACGCGTAACCCTAGGTCAACACCAGTCAACGCGTTACGATCAAACAGTCAACGTACGACGTTCGAAACCCTAGGGTCAACGCCGGTCAACGCGTAACCCTAGGTCAACGTCGGTCAATGCGTTGCAATGAAAAAATCAATACTCCGAAAAGTATACGAGTATAAATTGCTCCTTAGCACTCCAATAAGGTATACGAGTATAAACTATTTCCTATTTTTGGTTGAGAAGTTCCTGAAGAATATTTTTCTAAAAATATTCTAAAGGATAACTCAACAACACTACGCCGGACAACGCGTCGCAAATAAGCACTCAACGCCGACAACCGATGGTCAGTTCTATGTTGAACCAACAAACACGAGCTAAAGAATAGAAAATCAGGAATCAATTTCAAGTTCAGAATTCCGACAACGGTCAGACAATGAATGCAGCACCGGAACCCTGGATTGAAGGAATCAAGAACAGAAGTCATTCCAAGGTCCCGTTACACCGACTGAAGGTTGGGACAATCATATCCAAAGTATTCCAGACTCTTCTATGAAAGAACGAGGCTGAAATACTTTGGAGGGGGTATCTGTAGGCGTATAAAACTGTCTATAAGTTCCTGAACACAGCTCGGCACGGTGATTCGACAAACCAGTGAACCATCGGGTGACATATCTAAACACGAGCGTTAGTCCACCACACTGAAGCCAAGTGACACGCGACGAAGCGGATTAACGAGGCGACGAGGCTAACGAACCGCACGCAAACAATGGAATACATCCACTCGCATGCGGAATCAAGCTAACGGTTCGGTGAGTCAACGAGTCATCCAACTGTTAGAACGGATTGTGAACTCGGAACACCGAAGCGGCGTTACTGCCATATCGGGATCCGGACTATCAAATCAGAGTCCAGATCAACAACGAAGCGCAAACCGGACAACGGACACAACAGCGAACACCCGCGAAGAGCTCGTCGAACCCGAACCACTCAGGCGGCTCACCGAGCCACCAAGTGGTGGCTCGGCCGAAGCCACCTCGGGGCTCGATCGCCCGAGCCACCTTGGTGGTTCACCGAGCACCTTTGAGGTTGGCTCGGCCGGCCACCAAGGTGGCTCGGCACCACCGAGCCACAAGAGGTGGCCTCGGTGGCCGACGCACCTGGTTGGCCGAGCCACCTGGTGGCCGAGCCAGATCCGTTTACGAAAGCCTATACAATAGACCCCTATGGCTCATTGTCAAGGTTGGAACTTTTGGAGCCGAAACTCTGTCGAACTGAGAATTAACTTTGGAGTTTATGAAGACTTGAAGACCATTCCATAGATCTAGTCTTGGCGAGCATCCAAGTCAAATAAGGCAGGAGTTCGAGAGGAATCGGATCTGAGATCTACACAGTAATACTCCGGATCAAAGCTTGGCCTTTGATCCCGAGAGGGCGATTATTTCCTTGGTGAATTAATCCCACCGGCTATTATTTTCTTTGCGAAATAATACCCGTTATATCGTGTAGATCCGACCGGATCTAGATCACGTGGTAGTCCACGGATAAACCCCGGCGCAGGCGAAGAACCCACAAAAGCGAGTGACCGCAGAACAGGAGCTCGCGATTTGTTCGAAAAAGGAAAGTTATAATTTTTATTTCTTTTTCTTTGATTTCGTTGTAACCGGATCTTATAAAAAGACCGGATCTTTGTAACCGATTAACTGTTATCAAAGAGTGCAATGACATCAATGAAGAACACAATTTTTCCCGCGAACAATAGATAACTAAACAAACAATCTTAGAGCATTAAGTGATAAATTCTCAAACTTTCTGGCGAGCATAACACTATCGAATCGCAATCTCTGCTTTTACATAGAAATACTCACACGAAAATGGAATTTGTTATTATATTCTTTAATATTCTTACTTTTTAGTAGAATTTTGAGTTGATCCTTACCAGATCATTCAAAATTTGTTTTTTCTTTTGTCTTACTCCAAAAGAAATTCACATTTACATGTGGGTCTAGTGAACAAATGGATAGAGCCTTACGGCTCCAATTCTAGTAAAAAAACAAAGAGCTTCTCTTCTTAATTTGAATAATTACCCGATCTAATTAGACGTTAAAAAAAACTAGTGCCTGATGCAGGAAAGGGTTCTCCTGTGAGTGGTCCTTTGGTTCTTTTTTTTCCCCCTTTAAAAAAATACTTATGCTGCCACTATTCATCAGTGTCTTTCGTTTCCAATTCCAATTTTATACAACGTGAGGATACCATGCCATCAACAAACATAACCTAATGACTGAACTACATTTACAACGGGGAAAAATATTACTTACTCCTGTGAAGTGTTTCAAATGCTCATGATCCACTTGTTGAATAATCGCATTAGAGTCCGCAGCAAACACATGAGTGACTTTCTTAGATAACTGATCCTCAACCCTAGCCCCCATCTGCTCCAATTTTTGTTTCCAAACCTAGTAAATGAAATTACACGAAATACGATCAAATTATTATAAAAATGGGAAATTTGACTAAAATCGCGAGAAATTAACGGAAATTTGATTGAACCTGCAGTCTTCGTTGCTGAATTCCCTTGGGAACGAAGAAGACGACCATGCCGTTGAAGATTCCGTCTGTATCGGGCGTCGGAGAGCAGCGGCGCTTTTTTGGCGCCATGATTGCTTCTCTTTTCTCGCCGGCGGTGGAGTGGTTCCTTGGCTCGTGGTAGTGGAGTCATAAAGTGGATTCTGGATTCTGACTTGGATTTGATGCGGTTTGAATTGTACCCGCACCCAAAAACCCGAACCCGAAACAAGTACTAAGGCGGCGGTAGTTGTAGGTGATTTTTCCCCCCTTCCTTTTTTGGTGGCTGGAGCTATTTGTTTCCATGAATTTAGTTGGGATTTTAGAACTTTGCGTTAAAAATTGATTACGAGTGTGAAATTATCGATTTTTATAAGATGGACTGTTCGACAGTCATTTCCCATGCTAGAATTTTAGAATTATCATATTGGATAGATGAATCAAAATGTGATACGTAACAATTATATAAGTTTCAGTAAATTTTTACTTTTGGTCAAATATATCATATCATATCATAGTTCTTACTCTCTTTAAAAATATGAGTTTTGGAAAATCTTTTCATTGTCAATATTACCCTAATTTTTTTTGAATATTACATTGTTATCCTAATTTGTTCTAATTATCATATCTTCTTTGAATTGGTAATTAAATGATTTATCATATTCATAATGAGACTTAACATGTTATTGGATAAAGGAGATATGTTTGATATAATTCAAATCCTTTATTATTTTAGTTCACAGAGAACTCCAAAAAAACATATGCTAGCCAGCACCTAAAAGTTTTTGGACTTTATATAAAAAAATCCTCCAAGTTTTTAAAATTGTAAAAACACCCTACAAAATCAAAATTTTATTAAAATATCTTAAAAATTATAAATTTAACTTATTTCAATTCAGTGAGAAATCTGAAAAAAAAATATGCTAGCTAGAAACTGAATTTGTTTTTACTTTAGAAAAAGTATCTCGTAAGTTTTAAAAATTGTAAAAACACCCCTAAAAATTCAAAATTTTATTAAAATATCTTTAAAAATATAAATTTTACTTATTTCAATTTAGTGAGAAATCTGAAAAATATATGCTAGCTAGAAACTAAAAAAAATTTACTATGATTCTTTTTCGCTTCAAACTAAAAAGTTTATAACCTGAAGTTAGATATTTGCACATACTAACATTTAACCTGAGATGTGAAGCATCTCCTTGTATGAGATGATTTGTATGATAATGTGGTGTGGCACATCAAAATTGGGGTTACGCCCCCCTAACTGGGGGCTGTCGAAAGTTGCAAATTTTAGGTTATTGTTAACTCAGGTGAATGGATCGGGTTGAAATCGCACTCTTCCCAACTAGGTCCTAGTCACCAAAGGCCATTTACTTTAAGACAGGGCTGTGTTGGGGTGGTTTTTGAATTCTCGACCTCTATTGAGGCTGGTTTACTGTTGGAGATATTAAGGTTTCGGAGGTTCAGGTTATGCGGTCAAATATATATATATATATATATATATATCATACTCCCTTTAAAAGCACGAGTTTTAGAAAATCTTTTAGTAGACAAAAATATCCTTGGAATTCAAATATTAATCCATTAAGTAAGAGTAAGTTGATAAATTGATGAATTCTTATTGGATATACATAGTATGAAGATAATGATATAGTTTAAATTAAAATATAAACATAAATGAAAGAGCAACTTAGGTAAATTAGATGATTTATTAAATGCCAAATTTACCCCCACTTGCTCTTACATGTTGATCAATAATCAATCTACAAACAATTATTCATGTGCTACATGATTAATTATGTTAAACTGAGAATAATTATTCACATATTATATGATTAATAATTACACACAACATGGTGATCTCTCACCGACTAAAGTTCAAGTAGTTCACGGTACGCTTATGTTAATTAGACGATTTATTAAATATCAAATTTATCCCCTCCCTCTTATAGGTGATCAATGATCAAACTGTAACAATTATTCACGTGCTATATGATTAATAATGTCAATTTGCATACAATTAATCACATGCTATATGATTAATAATTACACATAAAGTGACGATATCTCACTAACTAAAATTAAAGTAGTTCAAAATACTACATAGTTAGTTTCAAAATTTAATTATACTATTATTATTTAAAAAGAACTCTATTTATAATTGTTATCCTCTCACATGTAACATCATATACCAATATATATAATCCAAGAAATTACAATAATTTCTATAGCGCTTTTATCTTCTTCTAGAGGCATGTGTCTTTGTTATAAGATTAGATTAGATTATTTTAAAGCAATTAATTATATTATATATTTGATATTTTTTTAGATAAAAAATTTACAATAATTTTCACAGTACTTTTATCTCCTTCAACAAGTATGTGTCTTTGTTATTTTCTTCTTATTAGAATAGATTAGATTGTTTAAGAATTATATAAAACTGCAACAACTTTCACAGTACTTTCATTTATTTTCTTATTATTAGATTAGATTAGATTATTTAAAATAATTAATTATATTGTATGCTTGATTTCTGTTTAGATCACAAAGTTTAATTATACTATTATTATTTAATTAGATATTGTTTGTATAAAAGTCAAAGAGAATCACATACGTATCTTTGATCTCAATGCCAAATTATAATACTTATATATGGGTTTTGGTTAAAATAAATTTTATGTATGCGGTTAACTTATATGATCGTAGTTTAATCGGATTAGATAATTTAATATTTGTTCTCTACACCCAAACTCTTCCATAAAACAAGAAATTTTCAAAATTAATCTTGGGGGTTGCTTGCATTAAAAAATTATGTTAGAGGGCTCATACAGTCTGTTTATAATTTAAGATTGTCAATACATTTTGTCTCTTTTGCATATCAATTATGAGTAATAATATAATTAATTGATCCAATTATATCCTAATATATTTCTGGACTCTTATCTTGTCTTTTGCTCTTTATCATGTACAAACCTAGCGATTCTTATTCAATTCCTTCTTTTTTCTTATTTGTCTCTTGACATTGTCTTTTGTTCTTCATTATGTACAAACTCATTTCATGGATTAGGGTTATGGTTTTTGAGAGGGAGCAGAAGACAAATGGGTTAATTTTTGTGTTGGACTTTATTATTTGAAGAGATTATTTTTAAGAAATTCAACTCCAATATGATATCACAATTGATGTAGATGATGAGGCTCAATTAAAATATGAAACAAAAAGAATAAATGATAATATTTATTGAACATTTTATGCTATAACTTAATTTTTGAGTAAAATTAGGAATTTTTAGAATGAATTTTCATGCAAAATCTTTAGTATTTTTGTATGCTTATGTGATTGCTTTTATCACATAAAATTATACTATAGTTACCATTAATCTTTAGTTTTGTCTTTTATTTATTTTAATTCTATCAAATAATGTAGGCTAAGATCTTATATATATCATGTTTATCATACTTCTTTTTTTATGTTTGCTTTTGAGATTGTTTATTATAAAACATGAGCTTATAATGTTTATATATATATATATATATATATATATATATATCATGTTTATCGTACTTCTTTTTTTATGTTTACTTTTGAGATTGTTTATTATAAAACATGAGCTTATAATATTGAAAAGTGCAGTGTAATTATATTTTCAATGCAATAAGAAATGCTATTTTTTTTATTGCTAGAACTATAGTTCATAATGATATTGTTATTCATCCTTGACTCCATGCTATAGCTTAGGATTAGTATAGTTTAGAATATGACACGTAGTATCAATTTAGCTTATTTTAGTTTACTATTATGCTTGAAGATATTATTATGTCAACTGATATCTTTTTCTGCGGAAATCAATTATGTTATCCCTGTTAAGTATATTGATCCTCGTTTAGCACAAAAATCTATTACATCAATTTTTTTATAATGTTTAAAAAAAATTATAGCAAATCTAATAATTAAAATGAATCTGACTTATTTATAGTAATAAAATAAAAAAACTATTTTGATATTTAACCACGTGCATTGTACGTGCATAAAAACTAGTCATCTACACTTTAAAAGAGGGAGTTCAAGAAAAACTTTCTCTACCCCAAATTACCCTTCAACCAATGTAAAATACCCCCAATCCATTTAACAATATTCTACTTTAATAATTAACTAATCAATACAGTTTAAAGAGTTGTTTAAAAAAAAGAGAGACAAAGAGGTGACACCCGCAAATTTATGAATAGCCGTCACAAAAAAATGTGAATGGCTTTATATAACGTTTAAATCGGCAAGAGATCTGTCCTTTCAAAGCTCAGCAAATCACTCGCTCTTCTTAATTCAAGTCCTTTCGAATCCCAGTAACTCCCTGGCTCTTAAATCAAGCATCTTCATATCCTCTATGTCTTTAACTCCCAAACCCCATTACAAATATAAAAACTACTTAACCTTAGCTCCCCATCACCAATCTCCTCCTCCTCTTCCACTGATGCCATGGGTCGAGCACAACCCGAGCCCATGTCAAAGAAGTAGGCTCTGTCTCAATGCCCACACCCATCACCGCAAAGAGTACCCAGAATTGCTTCCGAAGCCTCGAATTTGATGAGTGCAATGGCTACTTCCAGGCCAAGGAGCGTCGCTCTAACGCGCGTGTGACTTTTCACCAATCACGCATTTCAATACAAGCATCAGAATGAGCTATTTAATCTCATGGTTTGATTTTTGTTTTGTTTTGTTTTGTTAGATGCGATGTTAGTCGAGCGGTATTAGTAATAAACACTAATTTTGTTGGTAGTTCTTGTACAAAAGAATATATTATATGTTTCTTGTCCACTTTGAAAAGGTGTTGTCTAATGAAGCATTTTGCTTATTGCATTTCACCACAAGGAAAATAAAGAAAAGACGAGGGAAAAAAACTACTCTTTTAATTAAATTATACCCTTCTATTACACAAAAATTCTTGATTATAAGTTTAAACCTTAAACATTTTTGTACAGCTCATCAATCCGTTTTATATATGGATTAGAACTATGACAAAATTTATTTTAATCTGTTTCTTAATGTGTATAAGATCCTTTTCATATGGACCGAAACCATATTCACTTCTTATCTGCTTTTAAAGGCGTATAGGATCCTTTTTATATGGAGCAAACTCAGCAAAGCCTCTAAGAATACACTATAAGGAATAGTATTCCTACCAAAACAAAGTCCTACACGGGTAAATCTAGATCGCACATGCTTTAGGATAATTACAAAAATGTCATTCACATGAGTCCTAGGATTTGTAGTTTACTATTAGGGTGTTTTTCTAACAATACCCCTAATATTCTATTTCTCCAACATCCCCACTGTAACTTTTTCCACCTAACCCTAAAAATTTTAAGCGTATC